GACTGGGTTGAAGGGAGCTCTTTGTCCAGTTGACAGAGAGGCCCAGCGTTTTCAGATGGTCGAGGAGAACTGCGCGGTGCGACAGAAGCTCCGTCTGTGATTGGGCCAAAATCAGCCAGTCGTCCAGATAATTCAATATGCGCAGCCCCTGGCTCCGCAGGGGGGCGAGCGCCGTATCCATGCACTTCGTGAATTTACGGGGCGCCAGGGATAAGCCGAACGGGAGAACGGCGTATTGATAAACATGACCCTCGAAGGCGAAACGTAAGAATGGCCTGTGACGGGGATTTATCTGGATCTGAAAATAGGCGTCTTTCAGGTCTAGAGAGATGAACCAGTCCCCCTGGCGCACCTGCGCGAGGAGTTTCCTGGTAGTGAGCATCTTGAACGGTCTCTTCATGAGCACTTTGTTCAAAAACCTGAGATCTAAAATCGGTCTGAGGCCGCCGTCTTTCTTGGGAACCAGAAAATAACGGCCGTAAAACCCAGACTCGGTCATAGATGGTGGGACTCTCTCTATGGCGCCCTTTTGCAACAGCGTCGCAATTTCTGAGCGGAGCGGCCAGCGGGCTGACAGTAGATTCGAGCCGAGCGCGCGCACGAGGCGGGCGGCGGCGAAACTGTAGCAGATAGCCGTTCTTTATAATGCTTAGCACCCACGGGGAAATGCCTGGAATGGCTTCCCACGCTTTGGAGCATGCGGCTAGTGGCCGAATGGCTATATCGCCCTGATTGCTGCACATAGCGGGCTGGACACAGTGTGTGGGCGCGCTTTGAATGTGTGTGGCAACGGGATTTGCACTCAGAGAGGAGTCTATGGGCCGTGAAACAGAGCGAGCAGAGAGGGGACACGCGCATGAGCTCGTGGGCGTGTTTATGTTCTCTGATATTAGAGCGGGCTGTGCCCGTTTCATGTGATGGGGCTCTGAGAGAGACACGGGATATGTTATGCTTGTGTGTATGGGTGAACACCTGATTGTGGGCACATTTTCTACACAACTGGCATATTTTTTCTTTTTGAGATTTCTCTGGGTAGCCGTGAAAACGGCTTTTTGTCGCTCGCAAGCGGGCTGGGACACCGGCTTATTTATGGCGGTCAACACTACAGCAGTCGGCGAAACAACGGGGACTGGCAGAGGGCGAAGCTTTGACGGCGGTCCGGCCGCAGCGGGAGAGCACCGTCGTTTTCTTAACTTTGCTAGGCAGACTTCTGATGATCAGGCTTCAGCGTGATCTTGGGTCGCGGGCCCCGTGGGGGCGGCGGTCTGCGGCGGCTGTCAGAGCGAGAGCGAGGGCGGCCGCCCTGTCTGCGCTGGGCTGTTTGAGTCTGCGGAGGGGGGCGCTGTGGTGGAGCTCTGGCAGGAGGCTCGCGAGAGTGGCCTGCGGAAGAGCTAGCGCGGCGGGGCAGAAACAAATTCATGGCCTGAGTGGCTTTCTAGACCTCGGAAAAGCGATCGACGATTCCCGTGACAGCAGATCCAAAAAGGCCCGTCGGGGAGAGGGGCGCGTTGAGAAACGCGGCGCGCTCAGAATCTCCCATGTCGGCGAGCGTGAGCCATAAGTGTCTCTCGGATACACAAAGGCTGGCCATGCATCTCCCCAGAGCTTGTGCGGTGGCTTTAGTGGCGCGAAGGGCGAGGTCCGTAGCACTTCTCAGATCCGTGAGAGCGGGGGAGGGGTTTCTACCGCTCTCGGCCCACTCACGGAGAATATCGCTCTGTAACACTTGGAGGACAGACATAGAATGCAGCGCTGCAGCGGCCTGACCGGCGGCGGCGTAGGCGCGAGCATGAAAGCTCGAGGTCGCTCTGCAAGCTTTCGAAGGAAGCGTGGGGGAAGAGCGCCATCTAGCAGAGGGCGGGCAGAGGTGTGCGGCGACCAAGTCCTCAACGGGCGGCATGGCTGAGTAACCTTTTTCGGCGGCTCCGTCCACCAAGCGCAGCGAGGCGGATATATCGGAGCGGTTTCTAGCCGAGAGCGGGGCATTCCAGGACTTCGTCAGCTCTGTGTGAAGTTCAGGCAGGAATGGGGCGGCCCGGTTGCACGCGGGGGTCGAGCGCCGATGAAAAAAGCTGCCGTCCATCCGGTTCGGGGCCTGCTCGGGTGGAGGAGACCACTCGAGACCGAGGCGTTCGACGGCCTGTGAGAGGAGGCGCATTAGTTCCTCCTCTATCCCGGCGCGGATCCCCGCCGACTCTCTCGTGGATCCGAGAGATGACCATTCCTCACTGTCTGACGCGAGCAGTGAACAGGAATCCTTCTCCTCCGCGGCGTCATCGGAAGCGACAGAGCGGCCACTCGGCGGCAACTGTATGTCCGGCTGGGGCGGGGAGGGAGAGCGGGAAGCGGGAAGCGGCGGTGGCGGCCCGCATGGTTCCGCAGGGGGCTCCGGCGGCCTCTGGGAGCGGCGTTTCTTTTTACGCGGCGAAGAGGGAGGCGGCGCGGGAGCGGATTTTGCCGCCAGAAGTCGTGCCCGCAGGGACGACAACGGCAGGCTCTCACAGAAGTCGCATCCTCCATCCGCGAGGGCGAGTTCTGCGTGCTCGTGTCCCAGGCAGAGAGCACAGATGACATGGCGGTCTCCGTCCTCGAGAGGAGCGCGGCAAGAGCCGCAGGAAAAACGAGACATCTTTAAAAAGACGCTCGGCTCTTTTAGATATAGAGAAAAGAAGAAGGATACGTTCGTCGGATGGCGCTAGCTTGCAGGGCGGCTGAAGGTGGCGAAGACGGCCGGCTTCTTCAGGGTCCGGGAGCTCGCTAGAGTGATGCCTTCTCGACGGCGACGGCTTTTCTCAGGACAGCAGAAGCGTGCAGCTTGCTGAAGATGAAATGAATCAACATATAAGCCTGGGAGAGACTGTTATATACACCATAGCCACGCCCATTCTGGCGGGCCATGATGCAATGAGCGCGCGGGCGCTTCTCATTGGCAGCGGGTTCAGCCCCGCTCTCCCATAGGCTTAAGCAGTTCTCTCTGAGCGAACCAATGAGCTGCTAGCTAGCCTGCTCTAGGTCTGCCGCAGAGGAACTGCGTTGTCAATGGATACAAATTATGAAATAATTTTTTGGCTTCAAACTCTCAGCAAAGATGAATCTTTCCCGCAGCGTAAGCTAGCTTACGCAATACGAGAGAACCTCTCGTAAGAGAACTGCCCCCAGAAATGCTTTTCGCCCCCATCAAATAACAGGATAGTTTAATATATAGTTAAAGTATATAGTTAATTAGTTGTGTCATAAAAATGATGAATAATGAGGATTTGCAATTTTGCATAAATATGTTTGTTGTCTAGAAGCAGAATTGTGCGACAGTGGAAGGAAAATGGATGCACGTGTTTTGAGTCTTTTATTATACACTATAGTTCAAAGGTTATTTTTTAAATATAACAATAGTATAATTTAAATAATATACATATACTTTTATTCTACAAGGATGTATTAAATCAAAAGTGACAGTAAAGACATTTAAATTGGTACAAAAGTTTCAATTTTAAATAAATGCTTTTTTTAAATTCCCATTCATCAAAGAATCCTAAGAAAATGTATCATGGATTCCTTAAAAATATTAAGCAGTACAACTTGTTTCAACATTGATTATAAGTTATGTTTTCTGAGCACCAAATCGGCATATTAGAATAACAATATTTCACAAATCACAATATTACTGTTTTTACTGTATATTTGATCAAACAAATGCATCCTCATTGACCGTAAGAGACTTCTTTCAAAATCATAAAAAAAATCTTGCTGACTCCAATTTTTTTTTTTTTTTTACAGTTTTTCCTCAATCACTTCGGCACAATTCTCAAATGAGACTTTTTTTCTCAAAACAATAAGTTCAGATCTCTGAACAATTAGTTTGAATTTCTTACTGATTTAGGCAAATTGCATGTGTTTTGGCACATGTGTGCAAAAGAATAAGTATAATTGTCTACAAATGACTAAATGCACATGACTTGTTGGTCAAAACTGATGAGTTGATTCTCAGTGCAATTGTCAAACTCTTCACAACTTGGTATTTGGTACTTGGTATTTACTCACAATATTGATTTGATTTAGTTAATAGAAGTTAATTGATAAATACAATTTATTTAATTTATGACATTAGTTTTGAAAGCATCCTCACTTTACAGCATTTTTACACAAGTGCCTAAAACCTTTCACAGTCCTGCAGGTCAGTTTCTTCAAGCGTCTTGGAGACGTTGCCGCAGTTCTTTTGGATTTAGTCTGTCTAAGTTTTTTCTGTTTCTTCGTATAATCCCAGACAGACTCGATGATGGTGAGATCAAATCTCTTTGTGGATCATACCGGCTCTTGTCACTCCTTGTCCATACAAAAATATCACTGGATTATTACAATTAATGGCAAAAGGAATGTTTGGAAATGTAAATTAATATTTCCTACTGACACACTACAGCAAAAGATACAAATGACTGTCTTAAAACCATTTTTGGGGGTGTGAAAAAACTAATGTGCCTAAGACTTTTGCACAGTACTTTATCTATATATATTATTGACACAATAACTAGGTTTTGAAGCATGAATGAAATGTTTTGAGTGAGTTACTACGTTTTGCAGACACACAATGGTTCTGATGTTCCAGCAAACAGTTGTGACAATTGCACTTGCAGTTTAGAGAATGTTAAGACTGTTTCGAAAAATGTGCCAAAGCGATTGAGAAAAGCTACTAATAAGGCCTATCAACTTCTCTCAAATTTTGAGAAAATACCGAGAATAGGGGTGTTGTGTCTATACTAGCAAGTTGCAACCTCATCTACACCTTTTGTTTCAAAACTGAGCCAAAGCAGTTAGAGAAACAGGGCAAACCCAAATGAGATGCAGTGTTATAGCTCAACACCCCTGTCATTTTTGTTTCCAGAGCGCTGACTGTGGAGTGGAAGCCAGCATGTGACTGTTTGATGTTAATCCAGAATGTTTCTGATGTTATGTAACTGTTGTCTTCCTGTGGCTTATCCTGCGCCTCTCTTTATATCTTTCTGTAGTTGGTCAGCGGGGGCTCTGTAGTGAATGCCGAGGCAGTATGGGACCATGTGACCATGGCTGACCGGGAGCTGGCCTTCAAGGCAGGTGATGTCATCAAGGTTTTGGATGCCTCGAATAAGGACTGGTGGTGGGGTCAAATCGACGAGGAGGAGGGCTGGTTTCCTGCCAGCTTCGTCAGGGTGAGTTTTAACACTTTTTTGTGATTTTTAACACTTTCCTGTCTGACATATAGCTGTCTGATGCCCACCTGTCTAACAAATACCTGTCTAATACACACCTGCTGAACCACATCTGTTTAACCCAGCTGTTTTCATATCCAATACTGTTTCTAACTGAATAGCAGTCAGATAAAGCTGTTTAAAAGAGATGCAACATTCAGGCCTGTTCGAGAAATGAACAATAGAATAAATCTGCATATATTTAGTTGACACATTTTCAGAAGAGGTCGCATTCTTCCCTTTAACCTCCATCTTGAACCCAAACTCTTGTTTGTGTTGCTGTTGTTGTTTCTCTAAGGTGGAGTCCCACCCCCCTCAAACCAAACAGCTTTTTTATATCAACCCTGTCGCTGCATCACGCCTCACAAACGCCACGGCTAAGGTGCGTTTTTTCAAAACCACTGCTTACCGTTTGACCGTTGAATGCATCCCATCGCTTACTGCTCACATGCTGTCGCTGTGTTCCAACGTTTTGTTTCCGCCACAGTCGCTGCGCCTCGCTTCCATGGCAACTTATCTTCATGCCGATGACAGTCTGGGTCTGTCAGAAAATACTGAAATAGGAAAAAGATTTGTTAATGTAATGCTCACTCAATTATAGGGATGGGAATTGATAAGATTTTATCAATATCAATGCCACTAACGATTCTGCTTATCGATCCAATTCTTTAACGATTCTCTTATCGATTCCTGATAGCACTGTGAGGGAAAAAGTAGTCTTTTTCGGGGGAAAAAACAAGTTGTTTTATTTGTTTTAAAGCTTACACTTGACTAAGCAAACTGTACTTTTTATGTAATAAATGGAACCTTATTGTAAAGTGTTACCGATTAGTTATACACCGATTAAACGCCCCGTGAGTTCAGTGTTGGAAAGATCATTTGTTTTAACCATTCATTAAAACGAATCGGTTCAAATGAGTAATTAGTTCGCGAATTGGACGTGTCATTATCGGACGTGTGCTCGTTGTGTGATTATCCCGGCAGTTGGGACATCCCACAAGATGTGTGTCATCACAGAAAACATTTCATCACTGGATCGTTTTTTTCGTTTATTTGAAGTGTGATTATGTCAGCTGAATGTGCGGAACACTTTTCAGAGAAGATAAGGCAACGTATTTTAGCACAATTCACACCCAGCGGCAATTCAGGAAAAACAAATCTCCGAATGCTCCACAAAAAACTTTAGTCTCCCTACCTTACCATCGTGTCGTTTATTTTGATTAATATGTGCGAGGGAGAGAGGAAGACAGCGCTTAGTTTTGAGACGGTGAAGCCTACTTTCGCCTTGCTCCGAAGAGAGAGAGTGCGTGCGCGCGACCGGGGCTCTCTCGCTCTCTCTCTCTCTCTCTCTCTCTCTCTCTCTGCTCGATCAGTTTAACATGCGCCCTGTCACAAGCGCAGCGGTTCATCTACATTACCAGAGAGAGACAATTTTACTCACTGATCAAATAAGACTTTGCAGGACAAAGATTAGCTTTGGACGCGGTGCTATGGTGCTTGATAAAGGACAAAAGGGACAGAGCAGGAGCATCGATAAGAGGACTCGTTAACGTCGAGGGCATACAATATCGATGGATCGTAAAATTTAGAACCGGTTCTCGAGTGGAACCGGTTTTCGATTCCCATCCCTACTCAATTATAACATTAAACGATGACAACTATCAACATTTCCATCTTTTCTGACAGTATTTGGTGACATCTTGTTTATTTCTATTTTACTGTGACTTGAACAGATGTTGGTCTTAATTTGAGCCTCTCAGGTCCTGTTTACACCTCGTATTAAGATGCGTTTTGGTCAATCGGATCACAAGAGGACGACGCTAAATACAGGTGTAAACGGGGTCTAAAACGTTTTGAGCTTGTCCACTTTCGACCACTTCCAGAGTCATGTGGTCGAATGCGTTCGAACAGCCAAAAAGACCGCCTACTGACCTAATGCGTAAACATTATGGGAAGCGCTAGCCAGACGGGATTTAATCTTTGTCAGCTGAAGACCCAAGTTTGGTTTGAAGACGAAAAACATACCAAGCACAATGTTCTCTCACCATTCCTGATTTCTAAGACACACTCACAGCGCTCGGCGTTGTCAAACTAAAGCTGCTGCTCTCCGTATGTTTTTCCATCGTCTCCGGGAATGTTCATATGAAAATTGCGTGAGTTTATTTCATCTATTAGATCAAATGATCTGAAAAAGGCTATACATTTACCCATAGACCATGCCCTCGAAGAAATCACGACAGAAGTGGTCAAAAGTGGACAAGAGACGGATTAAAGCACTAAGTGTAAACGGGAATGTGTCTCCCTCGTCTACTTGTGATCCGAATCCGATCGACCAAAATGCATCTTAATACCAGGTGTAAACAGGACCTTAGACTGTTAAAGATCTGTTTAATCACATTTGTATACATAAAGAGAGCTAGAGAGAAGGAAAACTCAAAAATAGATTTTCAAACAGAAGTTTAAACAATAAACCCTCAATCACAACACCAATTATATAAGCCCTTCAGCTATTCTTTCAGCATCTCTTCTCCACCTCCAACCAGTGCTTTAAGTGTGTCAGGGGTTTTACACTGCACCGACAGGCGCTGACCAATGGCAGAAGACTGTTGCTGTTGGTCGGTGTTTGTTTTCGCCGAATGTCTGAGAAGTGACGTAGTGTAATCTGGTGTTGTCCGCGTTTGTCGGCGTCTATCAGTGTAGTGTCAATTGGCCTTTAGTGGGGTCCCAGTTTAAACACCAACTTTTCTCTCTCCATAGTGAGCCAAGCTTATGCATGAACCCTTCCAACCTTTTGTAGAAAAGCCTGTTGTCACTGAAGACTCAAAAAAGAGTGTTAGTTTGTCAGTGATACTATAAAACCCAGATCTAATATCATGAGCAAAATGTATTGAAATGTTATGAATAAAACTAAAGAAGGCGTTATGAACATGCTGCACAGTAAAAATGAAATATTAATGGTGTGCTAGCACAGTCACATGCTTGATAATATGCATATACATGCAGATTCGCCGCTAGCTATCCGGGGGGTGATGTCCTTGCCCATAACTAAAGATTAACCCTCTATTGCGGGAAATTCCCTCTGAGAAACAAATCCATTCTCTTCACATTGCAAGCACAGATGCCAATAAAATGAACATGAATGCAATTTCTTCCATTGCATTTTCATGAATTAACTTAAATTACCTATAAAGCTTATATATGAGTATATGTTATCTTTTAAATCTACATTTCATATTATAAATGATTACATATTATGCAGATTAAATACACTATCATTCAAAAGTCTGGGTTCAGTAAGATTTATTTTTTTAACATTGATTATAATAAAAATTGTTCCTACAAGGACAGGATATTATGTTCATTTGTTAACGTGCACATTATACTAACGTTTATTTACCTATTTATATTTTTATATATTTATTATTATTATTATTATTACTATTATTGTTATATTAATATGTTTATGTATGTTTAATTATTTCGGCGGAAAGGGCTATTGTGGGGGAAAAAATTATATGAAGCTTTTTGTTAATGCTTTGGAAACGTTTACAAATAAATATTATTATTATTATTATTATTATTTTAACAATAAGAAATGATTCTATAGAACCAAATCAGCATATTAAAATTATTTCTGAAGGATCATGTGACTGAAGACTGGAGTAATGATGCTGAAAATTAAGCTTTGCATCGGAGGAATAAATTACATTTTACAATATATTCAAATTTATAACATTATTTCACAATATTACTGTTTTTACTTGATCAAATAAATATAGCTTTGGTGAGTATAAGAGACTTCTTTCAAAAACATTTAAAAAATCGACCAACTAACCCCAAACCTTTGAACAGTACATCATGTATATTTATGTTAAATATATTTACATTGATTTGTAGTTATTAATTTAGATTTAATATATTTATACATTTTATATAACAACATTTAGGAGCCAGCTGTATTAGATTTTGTTTTTAGAATTGTGACATCAGCCAGTTTCTTTATAATGCGAAATTGTTACCTCCAGGCAACATACCTAACAAGCACCCTCAAAATATTATCTTTTAAAAATTGTTCTTAATTTTAACAGTAATAATTGTAATGCCATTTTATGCAAGTCAGGTTTTATTTTTTACATTCTTTCATAATGCATGCAATAGAGTGTTTAAAACCGCTATCATATTGTTGATGAAGCATCTGGATTGTAAGTCCACTGCAGTTGTGGCCATAAGCTCAAACTTTTTGCTTGTGTGTGATCTATTGGTTTGCTTTGAGAAATCCCAAGCTTAGTACTGAAATATGAAGATAAACCCTTTTAGTGAGGATCATAGGTGAAGGGATAAAAGGAGGTGTAGGATAGAGATGTGCTTATGAGAGAGGAGTGTGTTCGTAAAGGTGGAGCGTTCTTTAATGGGACTTTTATGTAACTTGGTCGTAACTTTGGCTACATACATAGAGCTTCCTAAGTGCATTTCTCAGTTCCCCCTTTACTTTCTCTCTTTCCTCTCTTTTCTAACAGTCATCTATCCCCCCTTCCTCCCCAAAAACACACTTATGCAGATGGCAGGTTGTGTAAGCCACTCTCGGGCATGACAGGTGTGAGAAAATCTCTTCGCTGTACAGAGAATATCACCTGTGTCTACACAGACAGATACATATTAAATACACACACACACACACACACACACACACACACACACACACACACACACACACACACACACACACACACACACACACACACACACACACACACACACACACACACACACACACACACACACACACACACACACACACACACACACACACACACACTATATCAATCTGTACAGCATGTCTTTATTCTGACCCTTTGGGCATCTCTTATGCAACACTGAGAAAGGACAAGGAGAAATAGACAGGAAGAGAATGAGTGTGAGAGAGATAGATGGAGTAGAGTCTGAAAGCATTATGTCAACCAGTTGGTGGCGCTGGCCTGCAGGTTTGGCGTCTATCTCCTGCTGAGACCTGAAGCTCTCGTGTCATCAGAAATCATTGCTCACTGTTTATTCACAGTCCACACGCACAACACAAACTGTGCCTGCATATGAGAATCGGCAGCGTACAGTGGAGCTGAAAGTTACATATATAAAAACAAACACATCTCAAATCTGAGGAACGCATTTAAAAAAAGAAATCCTAAAATAATTACTGTTTGCAGTCAGTTGTGGCAATTCTTTTTTCTTTTCTTTTGAACAGTCCGACATGTAAGCTTATTGCTCAATCAATACCATGAATTGTTGGCAGGACTTACCCATTTGTTGCTAGTAGCACAAAACCTACACACTTCACCTTTAAAGGGAGTATATGTAAGAATTTTCATGTATTAATCGCTTTTGTAT